GCGCTATCTCGATATGGCCGTGTGGACTTGTTTGCCACATTTATAGAAACTGCAATACTGCAATACTACACTACCACGCAACATTTTCATGCGTTGCACGAAGATAACACGCTTGCACTGTTAAAAAAATGTTTAAAATGTAAATTTACAACACATTTGATGTGAAGTTTGATAGCAACAAATGTAGTTAAAAGAACAACAAATGTTGCAATCCAACAACAAGTACCAAATTTTCTGAAACAAATTTTCATTTCAAAACAGTGGTTATTTACTACCGCCTGCACCAAAAATTGGTGATAACAAAAACCTGTTCGTTCTGTAACGATACATCTTGCAATCCAAATTTACAACGGTTTTATTGTACTCTTACAGCATGGAAAAAGGAAGGAATCATTGTTATGGACCACTACGAGCAAAATAGAAGGAATTTCGTCACGTGCCAATGAAAACGAATGATGCTGTTTTTTAACAAACTAGTCATTACAAAGAGTGCGATAATTTGACAATATTTTTTAACAGTGTGTCCCGACTGCCAGTCTAAGTACAGAGCAGCCACAATCGTTCGCAAGTGTTGCTATAGTGTGGGTTCAAATCATTGCACGTTGCCGAGTCGCGGGGTCCGGTCCCCAGGTGCCGGCTCGCATCTCCACCCCCACCCTCACACATTCATGGCCTGGCCTGCTCTCCACCGCGAGGATGTTGCCGATATTAATGGAATGGGAAATGAATGGTTTGGGTTTGGCTCCGACCAGATTACCGTCACGACCATCGGCTACGGTGACGCCGTTCCGCAGACGTGGATGGGAAAGATCGTCGCATCGTGCTTCAGCGTCTTCGCAATCTCATTCTTCGCCCTGCCCGCGGTAAGAACGACCTCCAGGGTCAGCAACTTTATAACTCGGCGAAAACTAAAGAAAACCCCATACATTTTCTCATTGTTCAGTAGTTGTTTCTGCTGGGTTGTGTATTTGCACCCTCCCCTCGTTTAAACTGTTAATTTCATGCATTTATTAACTCAGGCAATATCGACGAATTAGTTAGTAATATAACAAACCACTATCTTGCAAACCGAACAACTGTGCAGGGCATCTTGGGCTCCGGGTTCGCGCTCAAGGTACAACAGAAGCAGCGCCAGAAGCACTTCAACCGCCAGATCCCGGCGGCGGCCATGCTGCTGCAGTGCCTGTGGCGCTGCTACGCGGCCGACAAGGCGTTCAACTCGCACGCCACCTGGGGCATCTACTGCAAGGACCTGCACGACAGCTGCATGGGCCCGCTCGACGGCGCGCCCATCCCCGCGCCCCTGGGCAAGGTAAGGAGGGCCGAGGCCGGCGTCGCGCATGTCTACTGTCCGACTGACATGGACCTCCCCCCAAAAAATAGAGTATTTGGATCAAGTACATTGCATTTGATCATTGATTTAAAGTGCATATCTTGCTTCTATAAATGTATTTGATCCAAGACATCAGTTAATTTTAGAAGCTACGGCAAGTGTTTTACGTACGTATCACACTTTTCAAGCGTCACGCAGAAGCGTTAATCGACTTTGTTGAACACTTGGGAGCGGTATTGAGGCGACTGCTTACGATTACTTTACTATACAATAGAGGCACTGCGAAAATTAAAGAGTCCAACGCGTTGTTCAACACTTGCCGTGCTTGCCTGTTGGACACTTGAGATTGAGACGTCATTTTGCTGCGCGGATGTACACCCCCAATTCATGATTGTTCCTGATATTATGCATTTCCCGTGTACTTTATATAATATTACACTGTTAAAGAATTTCGTCATTCCACGATAATTATCTGTCACGAATAATTCTTAATTATAATTAAGGAGCTTTATTCGTCAATTTCGGTTACGAACTGCTCGTAGCGGTATAAAACAAACTTTTCGTATGAGCACATTTTAATACTGTCAATTGATAAAGATGTTAGAATGTTTGATTCAATAATTTTTGCGTCCAGGGCCTCTTTTAAGACTACAATCGAGTTACAAACTGTTCATTATTTTACGAATCTATACGTTACTTTAAAATAACGAAGAGTTTGTGTAGAAAAATTCACAGGACATTTTTCGTCAAATTACGAAATAATTTCCAACACACTGTAAACCCAAGTGTGGATAAAGTACACTCTTCCTTGCGTGTACATGCATGGCACACACTGGGAAGTGTGTACATGCATGGCACACTCTTGGAAGTGTGTACTTGCCATTACGCTTTGTGGCTTGTACACTCTAAGAAGTATGTGCCATATGCATGTACACAACTCCTAGCGTGTGCCATGCCAGGCACACACTTCCATGTGTGTGCTTTCAAGTACACATAAGGAAGAGTGCACTAGTACACACTTAGGTTTACAGTGCAGTGTTCTTGAGTGCATTGCGCCATTGCGCTTGTTTTGTAAAAGCATTCTACTCGTGGAAACAAGCGATAAGTGCACTCAGGAAAATCATTAAGTAAGCTTACACGAAAATTGCACTAATATCAAGGCTACTCTCTTAGGGAGTGTATATCACTGACGTACTTGCCACGCATCGCCCTCTCTACGTGTTTGGGCATGACTGGGTGTGTTTTAGTAGGCTCGTGTGTTAGTTTGTCGGGTGTGCATCCAGTATACGGCAACGGCAACCGAAGCAGCGGAGTGGAGTACGGGGAATTCCCACATTAATTTATGAGACAAAATCTGAGTCTCTCTCTCTCTCTCTCTCTCTCTCTCCCCCCCCC